AAAGCCTGGTAAAAGACATGGAGGACTCGGTAAACGCTTGAGAAAAAATAAGAAGAAACTGCAAAAGAAAATAAGAAAAGCCCTAGAGAAACAAAGAAAGAATAAAAAGAAAGCATTAAAGAAACAAATGCAGAGATGGAAAATGTTACAGAGCCCATATGCTCAGTATAGAGATGACTAGCTAGAATAAAAAGGTCCTTCTTTTTAATGCTTATGAAATATCTAAGAGTAATTTCTCATTGAAATGACTTTCATATCGAATATCATTTGGTAGATGTAGATGAAATTCTTGTGCCATATCCCTAATGAATGTTTTTATTTTATTTTATAATTAATGTTTTTTTATTACGCAAGTTATTCCTATCAAATATAAGGAGTAATTACGTAGAATATGTATGTCATCTTTTAAAAGACCTATTGAATATGGTCCTTAAATACCAGTAGCTAAATCTGTCATTTATAATTAGATACATGTATTGAGAATGAAGTTCATTTTATTTTAATATATCCTAAATTTAGAAATAACATGTCAATAAAATTAATCAATGTTACGGGAACAAAAAGCCTTCCGTTTTCAGATTAATACAGCTGCTCAGTCTAGATAAAAAAAAGTCAAGGAACTGTGCCATCTACAATGTAGGTACAGATTCTACCCTCAACATGCCTTTGAAGTACGTGAAAGTGTCACAAAATGATCTTCTGCCTAATGTATAAGGTCAAACTGTATATAATACATTTATTTAAGAAGTTGATGACAACCTAACATCATATACTACATATGTTTATATTACCATGTCACACAATCTATTTTTCATGTTTGTTATATTGCCTTAATATAACAAACATAAAATGCATGCCTTGTGCAATAAAGATTGTTATTCTTATATATCTATTGTTTTGTTAAACCAATGATCTTTCTTGTTTGTTGAAAATAAAAAAATAAAGATAATGACCTGTATTTAAACTTCAAAGTCTTTTGGAATGAAACAAATTGGAGCAGAACAAAACGGATCTCTAAAAGCATCAAACAGGATCATGAAGCGGAAGTAACCCCCGTGGACCGGTAACATCCGCCGTGTGGTCCTTGTCGTCATCGGACAAACAAAACAAATGTGAAAATAATGTCTAACAATATTTATTGAAGAGTTCGTACATTCGCTTTTAAAAAAAAATTATATATTTGCTTACAGTCCCATTGTATCGACCAAAGAATTTGCGAAATGTTAACTTTAAACAGAACTTTTAATATTCTTTTGAATCAACTTATTTGTCAATAGCTTTCCTCATTTTAGAAATTAACACACATGTATCTACAGCATGCTCATGCCATTCAAATCAACTGACATAAACTCCTGTATCCTCTCTACAAGCCTTACAAAAACAGAAAAGGGCAGAGTGTGGTTAGTTGTTTTAAACTTCCTATGGCCAGCTGGGGCCACAAAACATGCTGATCATGTTATTTTTTCACTTCTGAATTAAGCACAATTTGTGCAAAATCTTATGCGTGAAAAGAAGAAAACACTTGTTGTGGCCATCAACTCGACATTTAGATTTATCAACGACGTGTTATCAATTAACAATGGTAATTTCCATTCCTAAGTCGATACGATATATCCTGGTGAGCTTGAGATGAAAAATAATACCACAGAGTCTGACACATTTCTGTCATATTTTGATTTTTTTTCTTGAAGAAGACGTCAATGGTTATCTAACAAGCAAGCTTTATGATAAACGTGATGACTTTGTCTATCCTATCGTCAACTTGCCTTACTTTTATATGCAGCAATACACCTTCATCACCTGCTTACGGAGTTTATATATATCTCAGTTGATACGCAAGATAATGCTTTACGTATGAACAAATTTCTAAAACGAGGTAAATTATCGACAAACAAGTTGATGAAACAATAATTTCAGCAGTCTCGTTTAAAGTAATAATTTCTGAGTTCTATGGACGATACAATAACCTTGTCAGCTAATACAATTTATCATTGAGTGAAATGCTGACTGACGAATTAGGTTGACAGCGGATATTTCCGATATTTCCTGATCATGACAAGGAGCACACGGCGGGTGAAACCGGTGGGCAGGGGATGCAAGAAATGTATTTAAACTTGAATCATAAGAGATTGCAAGATTAGGCGCTTTTTTTATCGTAAAATGATGCAATTTTTAAATAAATGTGATTTGCAATTAGCCGAGTGAAGTTTGGTGCATATTCAATGAAGAATTAACTAGCAATGGTGAATCAAAAGGGAAATCGTAAAAAATAGGATTGTTTAAGACTTAAAGTCTAAAATGTTTATGACTACGCTTACGTATTTCTAAGGAGTCCCATCACATTCAAAATACCTCATTGTGACCTTGAGAAATTCCCAACACCATTGACATATCATTACTACCATAAAACATTGACCAGTCTTGACGTCGAAGGTATCCATTAGAAGATTTGCAGTTCTGGTTTTCTTTTGTCCAATAAGATTGATAAGTTCTGGTATAGAGGCTTTGTCCAATAAGATTCACTAGTTATCTGTTAGTGGTCTCATGGTGTTCACACATTGTGTTTCCTTTTTCCTGAGTTGATCTATAATTTCCTATTTGTATTTTTCCACCTGCTAATATGAAAATCTGTATTTGTTCCAAGCATTTTAATCCATCTTTAAAAACAAAGACAAAATTAAATCAACATTTTTTCTTACATGAAAAAAAAGACACCAACATGTTCTAGCTCTTTATTAAATATTTATAACTTGATATATAACATCAAGAAGCTCTACTCCGTCTTTTTATAATTCTGTTTTGCAAAAAAGAATGCATGAAAATTAATTTGGTGCATACTTAGACAAAGCATTCCTGATAAACATTCTCGCCAAATACCGATTTACAATGTTAGTTTTCTAAATTTATACATACCAATGTATATAAGTAATTTACCTGAAATAATACTGCAATCATTATGAGGCGCCGTTTTAATATTTTTGAAGAATTTTCTGATATTAAAAAAGAAATTCTTGATATCAAAAAATAGATTTTTTTGATATCAGAAAATAGATTTTTTTGATATCAGAAAATCATTTTCTGATATCATAAATTCGAATTCTTGATATCAAAAAAATGATTTTCTGATATCAGAAATTCGAATTTTTGATATCACAAAATGATTTTTTGATATCAGAAAATACCTTAAAAATATTTAAACGGCATCTCATAAACCATAAGCCATAACATAATATAAGAAAAATGGCAAATCTAAAATAAATGAAAGACTGATGCGAACGTCCCATTTTTAAAAATATATAATAACAAATTCTGTGTATTTATGTTCTCTCTCTCTCTCTTTCTTTCATTCTCTCTCTCTCTCTGTGCTTTTTTTTGGTTTGACATAGTTTGCAGGAAATAAGTATCAGTATGACGTATAACAATTGTTTGCGGTCTCTTCTCTTTCACATTTCCATTGTTCTGTAATTAATGCACGACAACATTCCATTCAGTGACTTGTAAACAAAAGACAACAGAACATATTTGATTAATCTGTATAGTAAAAAAATTGTCATTGACTTAAGACCATAATTAATTTTCTTATTTATTCATTCATTTTTTTTAATTCATTGACCATATCACAGTAATTGAATTCTTACTGAATTTTACAGCGTTGTGTGGCATAAAGAAATAGAAGTAGGTGCATGCAATTGATTTAGATATAAAGATTTTCAAGAGTTTTATTTCGGATAATGAATTTCTTATATGAGACCAAAAGCCACAACAGTTCTGTACATATGAGAATAAATGAGATACAATGCACTTAACACTATACAATACTGTAAAATATATTTAAAGTGCAGTCGAAAATCTACCCCAATATTTTAATCAGTCTCTAGAAATAAGTTTAACCTCCATCAGAGAAGACAATTAAGAGAGGACGTACTAAATTTTCAAACCTCTTTTCAATTATAAATAAACCAACCAAACCAGGAAAAAAATCAGAAAGCTCTCACTAAGACACGCTGATTGTCAGGTGAAAAACTAGTGAGACCTACAAAAATTTATCCTTCAAACATAGAAAGAGAAATTATGTTACTTTAAATTGAATTCATCAAACAAACAAGATTTCCAAAATGAAATGTCAAAAATGTCAGAAACAACAGATTTGATTTGTATTTCTTAATTAGTGTGGTCCTTATAGAACTTGCGGACTATTTTCACTGCGATTGTTAAAGCTGTATTTGCTGCCATTATTCACACTTGGTAAGTTTATTCAAATACCAGTATTTCTTAACAAGCAGCAAGAGCAATTTCTAGGAAATATGTATTGATTTAGAGTGAAAAAAGTAACCCGATTTTTTTTAAAAAGGAAATTCAAATTAAAATTAAACTAATATCATCGTGCTTTATCAACCATCAAAAGTTCGACATACTAAAAATGTAGATTGCACACTCACTTATTTTTCACAGGTTCGGATTAAGGAATAAGAATGTAGCAATATTCCAGGGAATCCCCCTAGTTTTGCTGAATCTCTTTATCATTGGTGTATTATGTTAATGTTTAATTACATGTACATTCATCAATATCGCGCTGGAGAAAGAAAAAGATTCTCCAATCAAAACTCTGTGACGTACATGTAGATTGAGTATGTCATCAATTGATTTTAAATCAATAATAATTAAACAAGTACAGATTCGTCCAAAAATTTACGTGTTTTTATTTATTATGCATTAAAGATCTATGTAAATATTTGGATTTGATAGGTGCAAACCACAAATAATACACAGAATAACATTTAAACGCAATGTTTCGTTCGAAAACTTTGAAAGTTTTTAAAAAAAATTTGAAATACTACGTATAAAATGTCAAACTAGGATATGGTTTTTGGATTTCCCTCTACCTCTGTCCATAAATAGCAAATTTAAAAGATGTCTAATTATCTTATCAACATATGTCTATAAATGACATTTTTACAAATGTTTCCTCTTACGGGATAGTATATATATAACAGTATTCTTGGTTTACATCTACAGTCAGAACATTTGTGGAATATCAACAGGTAAGAAATCTTATTCCTTATCATGAATAATTAATTGTTCGTAAAAACTTATTGAAAACTGTAGCAATGATGAAACATTTTCACAATGCCAGAATTTATGTTTTTATCTCTTTTTTGTAGGATGATTTCCTTCATAGTTTTGGCAGCATGTTTGCTGGGAACTCAAGGTCAAATACGTAAGTACATGTACATAAAAAAGTCTTGATAATTTATATAAAATGCATAAATCGCAAATTTAAACAAAATATATCACATCAAAATAAAAATGAACATTGGAAAATATACGATGGAATTGTCTCTTGTTTCTTAAAACGTATGCTACGTACTCTCGAAGACTGACAGTATGCCAAATTATAGAATAATTGGTTGTTGGTTTTGTTTTTGTAGATGGGGACCACGGCCATGGACACGATGCACATGGAGGTCATGGACACGATACACATGGAGGTCATGGAGTTGACCCCTGGAATGTAGAACCCCTGGGTCCGGTACCAGGTGTAGGTGGCGCTCCCTGGGGTGCCAGAACTGTCCCAGGTCGACAGGGACCATGGGACGGGGGTATTGATCGGCCACAACAAGGAATAAATAGACTACGTGATCTTGTCAACAGGGGTGTGCAAAATCACAGAGGACCTCGTGGTCGTTTTCCTGATTCACTCCGTCCAGATATACAAGGTCGCCACCCTATAGATTTCCCAGAACCACACGTACCAATTAGACCTCATGTCGACCCTCATCTCAATCCTAGAAAATACGGAAAAGGACCGAACAGACACGAGAGAAGACTCAGGAAGAATGAGAGGAAGGTGCAAAAGAAAATAAAGAAGACGATAAAGAAACACAAAAGGAGGCAAAGGAAACTAAAAAATAAGGCCCTGAGGAAACACAAGAGGAACCAAAGGAGAAAACAAAGGGCACACAGACAATATGGAAAAAGATATTAGTGGAAACAAATGGACGCCAACAAACTTCCTTTGACTACGTGTAACTGTCTTGGTCAGTAGATCCAAAGACGCACTTAAGGCGAAATCCAAAATTTTATGTGTTTTGCTTCGTTTTGTGCTTTTCATTGCAATTTACGTTTTGTGTCAGTGCTACAAGTTTCAATTTTGTTAAAATGTTGCAAGTGACTTATGGAACAAGACAAAGATATCGATTACACAAGTGTATATATTTACTGGTCTACGAAATGACAATGCATAAAAGTAATTTATTCAAATGAAATTAATTTTTGTCCAAGGACATGATGTATTTAGCTATGCAATTTTTCTGAGATATAAGTTGCATTATACTAATGCGTTACTGGGAACTATTGTGATTAATATTGAATTAATGGCAGAAAAGGCATGACTGGAAAGGAAGGACTGTAAGGTACATGTTCTAAATAAACTGAAACATATTCAATGATAACTGTGTCTTATGTATGATCAATACATTAACCAATTGTATGGCAGACTTTTGAATTGGTATTGATAATTCAGCTTACCTTTCAAAGGTATTTATCAGATGTGATTACATTTTTATAACTTGCACATTTTCTTTGAAAAAAAACAAACTGGTAAAGATCTTAATAAAGAGGTTAAATTAATACAATACATTTCTCTGAAGTAACTTTGTGTTCTTTGTTTGAAGACTATTAGTTGTACAATGTTTAGATTAACAACAGAATACAAAGCTTTTCCATAGGTTCGATGTGCATAATCTTCGATGATTTTGATTGAAGTTTTTGTCTAGTTTCAAGGTTATATTTTCTACACCATAAATATCTTTCATAATAGATATGACAGATATTTTATTAGTACAGTTATGCTGTTAAAAATCGGTTTAATGCTGACAAAAATCTAACTTGAGGCAAGTAAATGAATGATAATTGATGAAAAATTTTCACTTCTGTCCAGTGTCTAGATTTCCTTAATACCCCTCGAGCTAAATGAAGCAATGTGTGACATAGTGGCATATTTTCGTTTGAAGATATATCGACAGATAGTTTTGACACAAATTCATCACTAACTGATGGTAAGATTCATCATTATTCAAATTACTACGAGTTCTAGTTCAAGAACACTCAAAGTCATTTGCATCTTAATAAAGCTCTTCAAAGGCACAAAGCTCTTTTGTTTATGGAATTTTAGGTAAACATGAATGAGCTCACAAAATGATACCCTCACCTCCCATTTCTTTATAATGTCAATGTTCATGTTTTGCCTCGGGAGACCCGAAATAAATTATCAAAAACTCGAAAATGAGGTGGACATGGCACTACGTAAAAAGAATCTGTGAAAGTCTCATTTAATTTCATTCAGTGGTATAGAAGGAGTTGCGGATAAGAGATGGGTACCCTTCAGTATTGTAGTACACTGTAAGAATGACAGTGTACGTGTTTAGCTATGGGGCACCCAAAAAAAATGTGTCGGATAAAAAGTAAAAAAATAGAAGGTCCACGTCCCGAAGTAGGATTTGAACACACTATGTAAAGGTCAACTCCTTACTCCGTGACTTTAAAGCAAATTTGTGGACTTTCTTATCCGTCCTTTTGATTTTATTTTTATCGATATTTTCGCAATATTTATACACCCCCCCCCCCCAGCTTGAAAAAGTGGGAGGGTATGTAGTGATCGGGGGGTTACATATGCCCGGGGGGTTACATATCTCATCTGCAACTCCTCCTCTACCACTGAATGAAATTTATTGAGACTCTCTGAGAGTCTTTGTTATACAGTGCCATAGTGACCTCTTAGTTTACCTTTTGATCAGACACATATTTTGGGTATCCAGAGTAAAGCATGAGCACGGCAATTCTTTCTGTAATATTGAAGGGTACCCATCTCTTATCCGCAACTCCTCCTATACCATTGAATAAAATATAATGATACTTTCAAAGATTCTTTATTACATAAAGCCATTTTGCATCTCTTATTTTATTTTTTGATCTTACTCTCATTTCAGATCTTTCAGTGCAAAACATAGGCTTTGCTGCCTTAATAAACATTTGGCAGACAGGGGTATTATTTAGTGAGGCCATTGCCCACAATATCCCCCGTTTTGTTTTAATTGATATTTTCGCAACATTTATTATTAGTTATGCACGTTCGTATAAAACCAGTAACGTCTTAATTAACATATGACAAAACTGACAAAGTCATTGATCAAAATGTGACCAAGTCAAAACACCCTCGGCTCTCATATAAAGTAGTTATATTTTTTGCAGGATCAATCTTTTCGTACCTATATAGGAAATCACACGAAAGAAAGGTAAGTTAATGAGTTAATTTCTAAGTCATATCCAATCTTGTAGATTTAAAAACTTCCATACATCGATAACATAACATGCTCGACACGCTTTAAAAACAACGAATATTTCTTGAAACATGTAAGAGAGATAATTTAATGAATTTAATGAATATATAAATTCAGAGTTAAACTGGTTTAAATAAATTGATTTTAATGCTTTTTGATCTAAGAAAAAGTGAATGTATATGTATAAATAACCATGTCTTCTTTGTAGGCATAATGAGAACATGGGTAATAATTCTGTATTCGCAGTGCATCATCTTTGTCTACTCCAAAGGTACTTAATACAGTTTAAAGTGGATAAAAAAAATATGTCAGAACTGAAAAAAATTCTGAGTTTTAAGTTTTCATGGACCTTTACAACAGTTGTCCTCTGCGTGTAATTTTAGATTCTGTGGTATCTGACACAGCTGCTGAAAATGGAAAAGAAAAGAATGACAGAATAAGTAAATATTATAATGGTGGAAATTCTTTGAATATGTCTTCAGATAATTGATTTGTAAACACTGTTGAAAATAATGTCCTTTCTTTTAGAATCTCTTAAGTTCTCGCATCCTGTTGGAAGAAGAGAACAGGGGGATGCTTTAAAATCCAAATTAAACATTGGAAGAAGAAACCGATTTGCAGAAACACGTACACATTTTATTATTTAAAAGATTATATTTTGAACAAATTTAAATTAATTTTCTATTAATCTAATCCTTTGATGGGTAATTAATGAAATGCATGTTTTATTGTCCATCTCCAGTGTTTACGCGTCAACTCGGTAGAACAAAGAACTGGAAACAAAAAGACAGTGGCACAATGCAGAACCAAACATATAAGAAGGAAGAATCCAGTCTTTCCAAAAACCTCAAATTAACTACACCAAAAGCGAAAGGAGTGGAAAATTTATCAAAGAATGATACTCAAAAAAACTATGATCCACCAGAATCAAATGTAGATAAAGATACAGCTAGTCAATTTTTTCCCAGTGTCAACAACAGCAAACCAAAAGGAACTTACATAAGACTACGAAGGAAGAACTGGAGAAAATTCCGCGCTATTCAAAGAAAAATTCAAGAGAAACTCCGAAGGAATATAATGAAAATGTTTGGAAAGAGAACAGATGGACCAATGTAATTGAGCAAAGTAATAATATGAGAAAAACACACCAGAACACGTTTGAAACTAGTTCTGACAAGGGAAAGATAACGGAATTGGGATCAAATTCAGCCACTGAACAGAACTCTTTCATAAAATTAGTTATATTTAAGGATATTGCTAAAAATAATGAAAACTTTGGTACTTGCCGCCTGGTTAATATATAAAATGATATTGAAAAGCAGGGGAAATGAGCTTATAAAAAGGGTGATACATGTGTATTAGTTGTAAAATGGGACTTCATTTTATATTTCTCTAGCTGTATTAAAAATCATGTTTTTCTCCCTGCCTTAAATGTCACCCTCTTGAATAAAATGATACAATAATTTTCAAGTGTGAGATTTGTTCTTTAGGTTATAGCCGTACGTCGTACTCAGGTACATCTAAAAATTGTCATATCTTGAGAACATGCATGGTTTAACCAACTATTCATTCTATGCGACTTCAAAATCACCACAATGAAAAATCTTACTGAATTTATCCTTATATACATATGGAAGTTATAGCTGTCAAAATTTCAAGAGAATAAAAAAAACTAGAACAGAAGAGAATACAACAAAGTAAAACTGCTTAAAAATTTTTTAGACCATTTTCATCTGATTCATTAACTTGGATTTCTGGTTTTCGCTTATAGAGATAAGACACTCATTGTGCCCCTTCACTAGCCAACAATTTTTAATTTCATCTAAAGCAGGACTTAATAAAAAAAAAATAGATACACTAAATGATACATCGCCTCCCTTCTGGTTATAAGGGCAAAGTCCCGTGTTTTGCGTTGGATGACCCGAAAATAGTGTCATATCAAAAGGTAAAATAGGAGGTGCACAATGGCATTTGATAAAGCATCTGTGAAAGTACTAGTATCGTTAGATTTTATTCAGTGGTATAGGAGGAGTTGCGGATAACAGATAGGTACCATTTAATATTTTAGACAGAATGGCCATGTTCATGGTTTGCTCTGGGATACCCAAAATATGTATCTGATCAAAATGTAAAATAGGATGTACATAATAGCACTATATATATATATTAGTAACAAAGATTCTGTGAAATTCTTATCAATTTCATCCAGTGGTAGAAGAGTTGCGGATAATAGATGGGCCCCAAAGCGTAACAGACAGACTCAGAGGAAACCTATAGTCCCCTCCGATTTCACCGGTAGAGGACTAATAATACTATACATCAGCAAGTGTAACGTTCAACTGCCCGAGGGGTGAGTGAGTCGAGGATTTATGTTGTTGACACCTTGACACCAAAAATCCAATCGGCAATCCTCGGCTGACTCCGCTACGCTCCATTCAAACCTCGGATGTGATTAGTGGAGGAATACGCATCAGATCCTTACATTTCTCCGCCGGAAACTGCCTTATCACTCATTTCATATTGCGCTCTGCATAACGTTCTTCGAAAATGTTTCTTAATTTGTACAATTCTTGATCGTAGACAGGTTTTGATTACAGCCTCAAGTTAATATGCTTTGAAAGCAAGAAAAAACTGTTGCGTGTGCCACAAATTAACTTTGATTTCAAATGTATGAAATTTGAAAGAATTTCAAATAAGATCACATGACTGAATCAGCAAGATGGTAGATCACCGTTGACGTCCGAGGTTATGTGCGAGGTACGAGTCATCCGAGGAACTCCGAGTGCCAAAAATCTTTTTTATCGATCTTTTAATGTATGTAAATAGAGGAGTAACAGATGACAGATACTTTATATTTCCTACTAGGTCAAGCTTAACAGTGATGATAGGAAAACAAATTCTCAAACTATAGCTACCTCTTCTTCGATAGATCATAGACATATTACATAATGAAAGTTGCAAGGAATGGTTTGTGTGAACAAAAACGGTTCAATTATTTAAAAAAAATTTATATACACCTAGTTACTGAAACAATATTAACCTTACTTTTTTCCTCGGACTTTGGTAGCGGGACCCTTAACCTAAAAATCAATGACGATCTATCATATTAGAGCCAGCTAGTAGCATGTTATAAATGTTGTGTAAAGACACAAACAAGAAAACAAAACAAATAGAACATTGAGGTTGTTAGCATATTTTCATTCTTTTCTTTTCTTTTTTCTTCTGTGAATACAATTTGAAAGTTTTATTTTGAAAAGTTGCTGAGTGTAGGCGTATATTGATTAGTTTCTAGGTAAAAAGATATCATTGAAAAAGTGTAAGAAATTTAAAAATTCTCCATATGCCTTTTTTCGAACCATAGCGAGCGTCGGCGTGCAGTAATTCCGGTGAAAATGAAATACGTATGTCACATCTACATGTACACTATAGTATAATGTTCTATCATTGCTGAAAAACTCAAGTTTCTCTCTCTCTCTCTTCTCTCTCTCTCTCTCGCGGACAAACTAACCCCCGAAAAATTCATTCAAATGCAAAAATCTCGGAACCGAAAGTTACGTCATTAAAACAAAAACTATATGTCTAGTTTTTTTTTTATGCTCTATCAGTCCTGAACGTTTCATGAAAATCGAGCAAGCTGTTAACGAGAATGTGCACAAATTTATGTCAGAAAACAAATAATAACCAGAAGTCTCTGTCGAGACTGAAGCTCTACTGGTCTGTACTAATAACAAATGAATAGAAAAGAAGCAGTTGGGACTTGAAACTTTACAACAGCAATAAATAGAATAATGATGCTTGATTGAGCTCTTTTTGTGGCAAGATACTGCAATAAGATTACAGCTGTAAGAGTAGTTTTAAATAAACTTTTACAGTATTTTCAAATTTAGCAACCATGGCAACATCATTCAATGAAATCCTAAACCAATACACGGAATTATGTTATTAGTATAGTCTACTTGTGTGCCAAATTATAATGAAATCAGACCAAAACTATAGGAAGAGTAGCATTTTGAAAGTATTTCACAGAAATTTCTATTTTTAGTAACCATGGCAACACCGTTCATCAAAATCAAAAATCGATATACAAAATTATGTATCTTATTGTAGTCTACTTGTGTATTTGTTGCCAAGTTATATTGTAACTGTAGGAGGAGTAGCATTTTGACAAATTGCTTACAGACAGACAGACGGACGGACGCCGAACGCATTACTATCGTATAAGCTCCTCTGGTCTCTGACCAGTAGAGCTAAAAACTGTGGAAAAGAAACCTATTAATAACAGAAAGGTCTTCCGTCGAAGATGAAAGACCTTGATTTATTTAGAACATTGCATTGCTCATTTTAACAATGAGGTATATGACTACTATACCATGTTTTCGTAAATTTTGCTCATAAAATAAAGGATTCCTTGTCTTCAATATCAACTAAAAGCGTTTGCGTTAATTATCCAAATGTTTAATATTTTTCAAACATGTAAGTTATCGAGCATAGTTTTCAATATCGCTTCAACACCTTTCAACTACAAAAAAAATCATTCAGTGCTTATGTACTCTACAAAAATTTAAATTTTACAAATTTTAATTGAAAAATTCAAGTTTTTGTAGAGGACACAGACATTAAACATATGAAATATAATCCTCCTACGTGTTCAAGTTCTTCACACAACAACTATAGTTCTGTTGGAAATGTCGTTAGTTGTAAATATCATAACAAGGACACTGCAAGGCGGAGCATCTGCATGCAAAGAGCCACAATTATAAAACAAGGTAGTTTTTGACACCGATCCCGAAGATATGCCTGTTACGTACAGTGAAATTAAAATAAAAGATACCACGCAATATGACACACCTGTTTTAAAGAATTTGAATTTTGTCTTCCAGATGACTAAATATGCAAGATTATGCTCTACATGTACGTACAATTTCTTAAAACGACGCAACTCAGGCAAGCTTTTGACACAAATAAGTAGATGATTCACACCTGCGGACTCGTTTATACAATGACCTTGTAAGCAAAGGAAATCTATCACTAATAAGTCAAATGCTGACTGACGTTTTTCCTACTAATATTGATAGAATATTATTTACAAACAGAATGTTTGACAGATTTTTTTCTCTCGATTATGAACAAGTACCACACGGCGGTTGTTATCCATTATGAAGGCGATGCTTTACTTTAAGGCACCTGATCCCACCTCTAATGCACTTAGAACGAAAAGTACTAGTTTTTCATCAACCCCCCTTCTCTCTCTAAAATACAAAACACAAGCGCAAATCTACATGAATACGTACATGTAACGACCGCTTCCTTGGGCCTGTAATAAACAATCTAATAGGGCCAAAATAAAATTTAGTTTGTTTGGAATTGCCTCCAGCCTCATTGAAATGCCCCCTCCTGAAAAAAATGTTATTGACCAAAAGTAGGAAGATTTTTTTTTCTTCTATTTAATCAATGTTGTTGCCCCTTACATGTATCACATGCACCATACAAAACGCTGAAATATAGTGTCAGATCTTAAAAGTCAGAAATTGTATTTACTGTTTACTGAGATTTTTATCAAAAATTTAAAATTTATCTTCAATTAAAAAAATAATAATTTCCCTCCCTCCCTCCTGTATCTGAAACCCTTCAGGCGGCAATTCCAAAAAACAATTTTTTTAATGATGGCCTAGAGTATTGTTTTTATCTGCATTAAATATGCATGAAACACAACAAAACATATAATTAGCATGAAGTGATATGTAACTAGGTGTGACTAGGCCACGACTGACACCCACAGTTTTCTTATAAATATCAAATTTCTCTAACTGTGGTTTTAATAACACAAGGCCTAAATGCAGGATTTTTGAGCAGGTAAGATTCTTTACCTTTTTATTTTTTCAAAAAAATTGTCTTTTAAAAAAAGTACAAACAACCTAATATGTTTGTAAACCAGAAACCAGAAATTTACAATATTCAAAGCATAGTACTTACTTCCATACTAGATTCTCGAGTTTTCAAAGATTACATTATAATAAAGTAGTGTTTCCGACACTTATTAAGAATTTTCTGCAATATATTCATCATAAATATTGCGTTACAATAGTTACTTTTTGTGTAGAGATTAATGACAAAATATATCGTACTTTCTTACGGTACAGGCAGTTTTAGTGGATCCCCTCCCTTTCATTTTATTGTCTATCCATTGTCGGCTGTTCAAAGTAAATGCTTTCATTTATAGTGTAATTATATTCTGGAAACAATATCTACCAAAGCTACAAATCATACAGCGGGTAATTTTATGCTAAGAACATTTTAAAACAAGATGTGTTTGTGAAACACTATGCGCCCGGCGGCAACAACGTTTGAAAAATCTATTTTCAGCATATAGGTCACAGTCAAGGTCATAAGGTCATTGATCTTGGTGTCATTTGGGAGAACTTAATGAGTGGAGTATGCATATTAACTATGAAGTCTCTATCTTCTTTGATTCAAAGTTTATGGCGAAAGTTTTTAGCATATAGGTCACAGTCAAGATCACAAGGTCATTGACCTTGGTGTTATTTGAAAGAACTTTATTAGAGGAGTATGCATTTGAAATATGAAGTCTCTATATCTCACGGTTCAAAAGTTATGGCTAAGTTTAAAGTAGACAACAGACAGACAGACAAACAGGTAAACAGACAATCAGGCAGACAGGACAAAAACAATAAACGTACCGGATCTATCAATCCGGCCGCATAATAAATACCCGTATTGGTGAAAGAAAAGTGGCATTTATCAGACTGATTGATTGATTGTATGTTGTCTCGAGAATTTTTCACTCATATGGAGACGCCACCACCTGCCGTTGGAGCGCTGCAAATTTTGTCCTATGCTCGTCACTCAGAGCCATTGAGCCTTGAGGGATCTTTTTCGCGTCAACACCTACTGCAACAGAGGACCTCGGTTATACGGTGTCATTAAAGCATCGCGGTCTCCACATCCCTCAGTGAGATTCGAACCCGCGACGTAAGGATCAACTCCTTACTTCGCGACTCTAGAGAAGACGCACAGGCATTTGTTTCTGTAATAAATTTTTGACCCATAGTGGTACAATAACATTATAATACTATGGGTTAAATTCATTCCCGAAACAAGTGCCTGTGAGCAGACGCTCTAACCACTGCGTCACGCGGGCGAGGGGTTCTTATCAGATACCAGTATATACATAAATTCAGTCGACAATGTCCGAGAAGCATAAAGAAATGTAACGATAGTGTCGCAATCATTATAACAAAAAATGTAAACATAAATCTAATTCTCAAAATTCTCAAAAATTTTTTGCAGGAAAAGAAAGATAACTCTAATATTCTTCATAACAACGGTAACCTCTTGTTATAGAGGAAATGTGGAGAATTGTGTTCCTGATTTATTTCCTCATTCTTGTTTCTTGTCAAGGTATTAATGATTACTGAATTGACCCATTACTTTTTTTTTTTTTAAAAATATGAATTTAAAACGTGTAATATATAAGTGTCGATAAGAAAGCTCTAAACTCTGCTCAACTAAAATGGTAAATTGAAAAAAAAGTTATTTACTAATTTACTGTGAATTAAACGATTTGTATTAAAATAAAATGTTTTAACATTATATAAGACCAAGAATAAATAATTTAACTCATTACTAGTATTTTAATTTATTTTCCCAATGTAAGTAATCAGCAGTGATTTCAGCTCACAAATAGTCCATTGTCCTTGAACATTTTTCATGCAGGAATAAGGCAGGTAGCCTATTTTATAAATGATGAAAAAGTCTCAATATGTACACCTTTACGTCAGATATTTTTCTCCCAAGTCCTTGTTAGTGTTTAGAGCTTCCTTAAATAATTTTCAACCTGATATTTACATGAATATTTATAGTTGTCATGTGATCAAATATTTCAATCTCAGATTTAAAATTTAGAAGGAAAAAAAATACGTATCGAAAATAAACACTAAGCTCATATTTCAGAGAAAAATGAAAAGGGCCCTGTGAAAATCAATGATTCAAAGAAATTTAACGAGAGAGACCTATTCCGACACTTTTTCGGAGAAAATGGCGATTTTCCTACCCCATGGGCAATCGGTGACTTGGAAACCAAGTTAAATTCGGGAAGTCATCAGGAAAAACCGGATGTTAACCCAAAAAGTCAAAAGGATACAGGGAAAGATAAATTAACTTCTCGTCTTGGTACAAAGAAATCCGATTCTCACCCTGGAAAGGGTCGGAAAGATAAACCAGATTCTCGTCCTGGTAAAGGCCCGCGAGATAACTTAAATTCACGTCCCGGTCAGAGGAGAGACGACAAATTCAATTCACATCCTGGTAAAGGAGAGACGAAAAATTCAATTCACATCCTGGTAAAGGTCGACAAAACAATTTCGATTCACATCCTGGTAGAGGTCGACAAGATAAATTCGATTCACATCCTGGTAAAGGTCGACAAGATAAATTCGATTCTCATCCTGGTAGAGGTCGACAAGATAAATTCGATTCACATCCTGGTAGAGGTCGACAAGATAAATTTGATTCACACCCTGGTAGAGGTCGAAAAGATAAATTCGATTCACATCCTGGTAGAGGTCGAAAAGATAAATTCAATTCACATCCTGGCAGAGGTCGACAAGATAAATTCGATTCACATCCTGGTAGAGGTCGACAAGATAAATTCGATTCACATCCTGGTAGAGGTCGACAAGATAAATTCGATTCACATCCTGGTAGAGGTCGACAAGCTAAATTCAATTCACATCCTGGTAAAGGTCGACGAAATAGACTAGATTCACATCCTGGTAGAGGTCGAGGTCAGGAATAAAATTTTTATCCTGATAGCGGTTGATCAGATCGATGCACGGCGGATTCAATGTGCCTCTTTCATTTACATGTAAATCAATTTTTAATGAATTAAAAATATATCTTTTGTTACAATAAACATTAGTGTTTTGAGAATGTAAATCAATTTTGTTTATTTTCTAGCCTCTGATTGGTTAATATCCAAAAATGAACACTAGTATTATTTATGTATCAGTTTATGTCTGATGATCAAGAAAATATACCGGGTTACTAGTATATATATATATGTACTTTTTATTTTTATGAGGTACATAATCAGTGAAATTGAATTAAACATCAGAGGTGTGAAATGCATTCAAGAAGTGCATATACAGAAATACAAAACAGTCTGAACTCAGAGTATTTGGACGGGTCAGCCTACATGTATCATTGAAAGAAAAAATGTTAAAGGTAGCGAATTAAACAAACAAACGTTCTGTATTGATCGATCTAACGACATAGGTTGTAACCAACCAAACAAAGAGAAGGCTGATTTAAATGCCTGCGCAAACTTGCACACGTAATCTGTGTCCTTTATGATTTAAAAATACTCTTTTTCAACATGTATAACATACCTTTTTTCAATGTTTTGGAAGAATATGTACGTGTTTTGTGATGGACATAAACCTGTGATTAAGTCACAAAATGGCTGAAGGCATAAACACGGCACCGTGTGACTTATGTGAGGGCCAGCACGAAATCAGCAGAAAATGTCTGACGTGTGACGAGTTCATGTGTGAAAACTGCAGCAGAATTCATTTAAAGAGCAGACAGTCTCGCGACCATGACATCATAACCATCGCTGACTCCGAGAAGTTGACAGCGCTCGTGCCGTACCAACCCCGCGAGGATTCTAATCCGGAAAGCGATGACATCGATGAACTATGCGAGGAACATTCCGGGGAACTGTGTATACTTTACTGTGTAACACGTGGATGTGACTGTCTTGTTTGTCGAGTTTGCATTTTAGATTATCATCAAGGACACCGTTTCGTTGAGATTGATGACATCCTTACGTCATTCAAACGTCAAGAGGCAGAGAGAAGTCGAGAGGAAATCGAGAACAGTATCTTACCATATCTTACCGATAAAAAAATGCGGCTGACGACGGCTAGAGAAAGTGTCCTAAACGACATTCAAGGTAAAAAGGAAACGGTCAAGCACAGATATGAGGAACTTCGGAAGGAATTAGATAAGCACTATCAAACAACATTGTCTGGTCTCGCTGATGCTGGCAAGGCAAATGTCGAGGTTATAGACGCACTAGGAAAGTCTATAGATTTTCATATATCACGTCTAAAGTCAACCTTGTCTGTAGGGGAGAAACGTATTGAGGGCGAAAACGATGTAGGAGACATAAAGTACGCTCGTATGTTAGAAAATGACATCGAAAGTACACCAGAAGTGTTAATTCCAAGTTTTAACAGACTTATGTTAAATACGCATGGAAATTGCTCAATTTCCGATATCTTTGGGGATCTTGAAGAAGTTGTCGAATGTGAACCGGAAGTAATAGCAAGGTCTTCAACTGGGTTCCCGGAAGTGTCTTCCATTTGTCCTGTTTCGCCATTTGCTGCATGGCATGGACATTATAAGCACAGGGGCATACAGCTTCTGGAAGTTGACGAATGTGAACATCTCGTTCCCGGTGGAGGTTTTGGAAAATCTGGTGTTTTGAACATGGCAGCCACGCCAGAGGGCGATGTGTACATGGTCATCTATGGAAGTAATGAAGTCCTTATGCTAAAGACGGACGGTTCAGTTGAAAAGATTTATGATACTCGACCATTTGTTGCTTTAGGTATCGCGGTAACCAAAAACAGAGACATTTTGCTTTGCCTTGCCGAATCGTACCCAAACGAAATGAACCCTTCTGGAAAGCGTCGAGTTGCTCGAATAACCAATTTCGGTATTACGCGCCAGATTATTGAAAAAGACACAGAGGGACATGATATTTTTGTGTATCCGTTCCGAGTTGGAGAAAATATAAATGGTGACATTGGCGTCATAGATCACGTGGATGATGCTGAAGGAGTGCTAGTTGTTCTGAACTCGGAAGGAACCACGAGGTTTACGTACAACGGTCTGGAACAAAACGAAGGACAGGTTTGTAACTTGACTGACATAACTTTTGACGGAGAGGGCTGTATCCTCATGTCTGATGTGACTAACCAGTGCGTTCATATGCTTTCTAAGGATGGGAAGTTCTTGCGCTTTATCGATGTGTTCATTTACTACAATACAAAGTTATCTCCCACCACGCTCGCTGTGGATTCTTCGGAATGTCTCTGGGTTGGAGGTGTATCCAAACATAGATACTTTAATAGAACAGATGCCCATATTGTGAGAGTCAAATATAAAATGTAACGGCTTGATATATCCTTGGTTTTACATACGATTTTGTTCTTCCAATTCTTGAAATAAAAAATTAAAACTTTTTAAAACAGTTTATGATTTAATAAAGAATACATGACGTGATTTTGAATAAAGAGATTTTTTCATAAGATGTTAGCTATGACCTTTTTTTCAAGACGCTTTCGAAAAAAAGTGTTACTTAAAGATATGAGGGAAATTTAATTTTAAAATTACGCCCCATTTATCTCTGATCGTAAAACGTTTTTACATTGAAAAAGATAAACAATATAGATTACTACAACATTGTATGTACAGTTCTCGACTACTTACATACAACTTTCTTATTTCCTAATCGTTGAAAAGATAAAAATGTACGCACATGCAATTCTAAATTTAAACAGATTCCTCGTCAACACGAGCATATCGGAAGGAGAAAAATCTTCCATGTGCAGTTAAACATACGCTTATTTGTCTGAATAAAAAAAAAAACATGTACATGTATAATAAAATTACTTTTTAATACTAGTAACCCAGGGGTTGAAACTATACGTTTTTTTTAAATAAAGAGAAACATATTGTACATCTGTTTTCATCTGTTTTTAAATGCAAATAAGCTGCACATTTGATAATTTATTCCCGAGTTGCATGTCAACTTTATCAATTTTTCCCAACTTCCTGGATTTTTGAAAATAATCAAAAAGTAAAAATAAAAAAAGAAAATAATCATAAATGTATATATATGTATAGTAATTACTATTGCTGTAGTTTAAAAAAAAAACAACAACAATTTTTATATATCTTTACTGCAGAAATTTTATATTTTAACTATTCTATTGTATAATTAATGTAAAGATGATTTTTAATATTTCAAACTAAAAAGAATTTTAAATGAAGATCTTTTATATATTAACAAATTAACGTATATGTAGCGTACTTTATTTTCATGAAACCAATATTGCTGTGCCTCTGTACGTGCCTATTTTATGAAACAATCTCACTCTCACACAACACTTAATCTCTGAGCAATCGTTTCTTACTACCGGTAATCAAATAATCTGAAGACCTAAAGTGACAATTAAAAATCAGATTCGATACCATTAGACAACCTAACCTTACGTGTTTTCATCTGCTGAAGGCTGGGTTCATACAAAATGCTAAACATTTGCATCAGTCCATTTGTATCTTAAATTGAGCCCCTCGAGTTCAAAATAATATTTAGATACACAGAATTCCTTTGATTCTCTCATTTAAAATATTTGTTTGGCTGGATTGACTATCACGTGTATTGCGTCAAGCGTGCATCTTCCATTTGTTTAGACAGCTGTATATACTAAAGAGTTGAGAGAATTAATTTCTCATCACTAAGCCATGTAGATACCAGTCTGTCTTCTAGGGGTCTGTTTATTCTTACTTTTCTTAAACAGTACCATGAAAAGCGCACAGAGAGAGAGAGAGAGAGAGAGAGAGAGAGAGAGAGAGAGAGAGAGAGAGAGAGTTGCATCGGATTATTATAGATCATTATGAACGATTAAATCAGTAATAAGATTCCATCTTCTCCCAATTTGATAATCCACAGGAATTTTCCTCCCCGCAGTATTTGTATTTTCGGGATCCTGCACGTTTCGCGCAGCTGTCGGAGATGGCTGGTACTTGAATTGATGGCTGAAACAATTGTCGAAACAGTTGCTGCTCTGTAATTATTTATCTCAGTTTCTTCAGTTTTTCATCTCTTTTTGCATTTAAACCTCCAAAACTCTAAAGCCTCCTTGATTCTCACTTTTTGGAGCAGCCTGGTTGGTAAAAAAAATATTCTATATGCTGATCAGATCGCGAATCGTGTAAATATAATAGAAAATTTTAAACATTGTTTTAAAAATTATACGCTGTATTAGAATATCGAGGACCTTTTTCCGGCGTTGAACTCTGATTAGCTGTGGGAACCCCTATCGGACTAATCTGAATGTTTTGCCTCCACATAGACACCTGTACAACAAAAATATCAACTGCTCTACTTTGTCTGTCATCGTAAGCTGTGTTTGGCAGTCGTCCATTTGTTTTATGATCATAGTATATATTTATAATGTAAACCATCCCAGATTCACCAAAACAATTGAAATGAACCCACAACTTTTTCCAGGACGTAAAAGGTCGCGTCCTTCAGACAGGGCTATTGTCCGTTTTTATGTTGTAAAACAACTTCAGGCGGTTAAGAAAATATTTCTTTTTTTTACCTACCGGCTCGATTTTTTAAAGAAAAAAATTAAATAAATAATTCAATAAAATCTTCTTTTGTAAAATTGACCTAAAAATGAAAAAAATGGAATTTTATTCCAAACACTCTTATTTAACTTGCTCTGGGCATTAAGTAATGAAATGAATAATTATTAGACTGCATTTCATTTCATTAATTTTTTGAAATATTCAATTTTTCATTTCCGATTAGGCCCTATTTAAAATTTTCATCTCCCACATTTTACAATTAGTATTTTTTGGCAATGAAAGCATGATTGATTTAGGGAAAAAAATCAAGAATGAATCATTATTTAATTATTGAAATCGAAACAATTAAGTTATTCGCAAGAACGTTACAAACTCTCTCTCTTTCTCTCTCTCTCTCTCTTAGCTGCAGCAGTACAACGTTGTGATTTTATATATTTATGGTCAAAGACAAATATTAAACCATAACGCTGTAGTTTTCAGCTCTCTCTCTCTCTCTATCTCTTGCTGCAGAAGTACAGCGTTGTGATTTTATATGTTTATGGTCAAAGACAAATGTTCAACCATAACGCTATAGTTTTGGATCTCTCTCTCTCTCTCTCTCTCTCTCTCTCGGTAACTACCGGTAAATGAAAGCATTTTTCATGGAATATTCTTTATCTCCGCAATTACGTGGACCTCTCAATATTAACGTTACATTAATAATTCAACTATACAAGAGTTTTATTTCTGAATCTTAGGCCGTCTGCCGAAAATCTGTCAGATTTTATTTTCCAGCGTAGGTTCGAAGGTGTTACTTAATTTTCTAATGTCTCTATAAACAACAATCAGCTGAAAGCAAGGCTTCTGAGTACAGCCATGGAGCGATAAAACATACAATTACTGGTCTTAAAGATCCATCTCTTATTTTATACATATGGTACACCATAATGTACTGGAAATAACAAAAATTGTGTACGAAATTACAGTATCAGAGAACAAAGTTCTAATGAAACTAAACATAGTTGGTCAGTTTAAATATATAGCGTTTAAAGCAAGAACCAAAGTTTTATCAAAACGTTCCATGGTCCGTTTTCGAGAATCTACATTTTATCGAAAATAAAAAAAATCACAAAAGCACACAAATCATTTAGATTCTATCTGTATATATGGTTGCACGATAAGATGTTGGACTATCAGTTCTACTGTACTATCATAAACGTTGCAATCACAAGATTTAAAAGTATTTAACACACTTTAATTACATTAATTGTGTATTTAACATTTAATCTATGCATTTACTTTTTTCCTTGATAGAATTTACATTGATTAAGCTAACATGGTCCAGGTTATACGTTATGTTTCGGTTACTAGGTAACGAAATTAGTTTCATAAACTGGGACGTTTTGAAGTTTCGAGATTTAAATATTTTGGGCAGACCTTGGAAACTGTTACAATTGTCCTAAATAACTGGATGAAGGCAGAGGCTATCGCCATTGTTATAAATGTTGCGGGTGGGAGTATGGCGATGTACGGACAAAAGGTGTCATGATGATAAATTTGTTCCATTTCAACGTGTGTCCAGTTGAAAATAGATATGCATGCCAATTAAGCAACATAGCACTTGATAGGGTTGTCAAAATACAGCTAAACACGACAGGTTTGCATGAATAAAAACGAAAAGTTTTCACAAATAGTTATCATTTTGTCCTAGGAACTTCAATAGATTCTCAGTAAGGTAAGGCAAAAACTATCCACAAAAAAAGCAAGCTCAAAACCAGAGAGTATAGACTTATTAGAAATCAAAGGCAGTGTTCTCAGCAATTTGAATGAAATACTTTGGGTTTTTTGTGTATAGATTGGGTATTTTTCCGTTTTGTAAAAAACAAAACAAATATTGAAAGTTTGAAAACAAAAATTTTTTTTGGGGATAAATGCAATTTCTAAAATAAATAACATTACCAGTACTGAAATGAAAAAAGTCATCGGACGTTATTACTGGAGGGGGGCAAGCATATAAAGTAGAATTTTTTTGTAAACATGCATACTTTTGTTTGATACTGTAATCAATTTTGAGTATTCTTGTCGACATTTAGAAAAAGAAATCAGAATAGTTTGTATACCCTTTTTGCAAATTTTTTAATTAAAGTTGTTATTTGTTTGTTTGTTTGCTTGTTTTTAATACTGCTACAATGTCATATTACATTCCAACCAAAGATTAATTAACCCCAAGGAATTACAACGGCCTTATCGTAACAAAGTTGGGCCTATTCATGACCGGAACTTGTTATTTACAATAAAGCACACTGACCCAAGTCCGTGAACTGACCACTATCTTATTCTCCTTAACATGATTAATATCCATCATTTATTCCCGTGTCACTCTGGCTTGTTGACTTCAGATATATGTGTTTATAAGTGAAACGGGCAAAACGGTCAATACTGCCCAGGAATTCATTCGGGTTAATTTTTATATGAATTTTGTTTCATTCATTACAATGACTTTTTGTGAAGGCCAAAATCTTAAATAACACAAAAATAGAACAGCTAAGCTTTGTTTTATAAAAAAGGGACAGATTCTACTGATTTAATACCAAGATCTTGATTTTCAACAAATCCTCTAACACCCCCCCCCCCCAAAAAAAACATTCCTTTTGCATGCACAACGGGAAGCATATCTCTTCAAAAAATTATCTTATTCAATTATCGATGGTTTTAAGGTCAAGATCTAGTAAATGACTTTAGAGTAACTTTTCAGTGCTAAATCCATTATGACGTCATAATCACTTTCAACTTTCTTTTTCCCGTACTTTACGGCTTTAATAGAATTATGTAGAAAATAGAGTACTTCCATGGAATTCAATCTGAAATCACATGAAAAGTAGTCCCGATACCTATCTTAAATTTGACAGTATTTTAAAGTAGAGACTAAGAACACACAAATAACCGTTTTCTGAAAAACTGTAGGCAATCAGGATACATTTTCTTTGCCTGATATGGAAAAAACTCCCATTTTCAATACTGGTTTTCTTAATTTTTTATTGAAAATGACAGTTTAAAATATGGTTTTTCATCTTGTTTTTCTACAAATTATGCCCCGAAACATCTATTTTGACCAAGCTAATATTATAAAGCATCATTAATTGAATTAATTTCTTAAATTTGAAAAATCTGTAGGCACCTTCCATTTACTAGATCTTGACCTTAAATGACATCACATGCAGAAAAATATATTGACCTCCAGTAAAAATTAATGATTTTTTGGGTTAAGATGGCGTGCTTGGGTCTCATCCTTCAGGTTATTACCGCATAAAAAAATCAGAGAGGACAGAACGCTATCACGATCATCTCGTTAATTTGTCGCGAGAGATTCCGCTGCCATTGTATTAAATATTAATTTCAAATAATCTTTGTTCCCAGATCGGGACACACGTGATTTTCACTGCCGAGTGAGTTGCGACGTTTTTCATATTTTGAGGGGGATAAAAATCTTAAAGAAATTAAATGACACATTATCAAATTATGCGAGAGATAACGATGAAACATTAGCATACAATAGATGAATGGATTCGTGTTACTTTAGATAGGCATCAGTTCAAAGGGTCAGAATCTAGGGTTCGTTCATTTTATATTGGACGCTGGGATGAGCTTCGTATATTTTTAGCTTATTGCTGTCAAGCATTTATGAAAGATATCAACTTGTGATTACTCTTATACACCAGGGAAAGAAAACTACAGTGATGCAGTGAACAAGAATCTATGTTTCACAATCAAAATTGCCTGATGCATATATTTATGACATTTTACATTTATTTTTTTTTAGAACCATTCATTGCTTTGAACGCCCCTTTTGGTTAAAATCAAGGAACCGGACGCGAATATCCTGATAAAATAATTTATTAGTTTATTCACACACCTTAGAAAATGGCCAAAGATTACAAACCTTTTCGAAACGAGAATATTTGAAAGAAATTGGAGTCATTGTCGACATATAACAAAAAACCCAGTGTCCCCCAGTTTGGAAGCATCCAGGCAAACTGCAGGTTTACATCGTTATACATATGTTATCATTCGTGCGGAAGTAAAATAATTATAAACCACCTCTTTTTTAACGCTAAATTGAACAGACAGCCGTGTGTCTTCATACTTGAGACGTCATTACCTACGGAACATATGTGGACAACCCTTTCTTGCCGTCAGTGAGAGCCATCAAGGTTTACAGCAGCTTCTTATTCTTGCTCCAAGAAGGTCTTTGCCAATTGCTTTCCAAAGAATGAAGTGACACTCAGGGGAACTTACTTTGCCGTATGTGCATTATTTGTTAATGGTTCATTTACTGATAAATTCGTATATATATATTTTTTTATAAAGCCAGACTTTTGCTGAAGCGATCTGTTGCAGATGACATTTTGATCGAGTCCAGGGCTTAGAAGTGGAATCTTCTGAGTGTTAAAAGGTTTTTATATATCACTGCTTTGTCTACAGGAAACCGACTTTACTTGAGTTTTCTGGATTTGCAACCAAAGATTATCTGAAGAGTTAATGGCAGTGTGGGAGATTATTTTGGATAACGGAAAATGTGAAATGATATTAAACTTTTCCTTACGACTGTTTGTTCAATATAAATATTTTATGTGTTGGTTAATCGTTACTTTCTTCAATGATATAATAAGAGTGACTTAAAGCTGTTTCGCGGCGTTATTGAGAAGTGAAATTTACAATCCAGTCTTGAAGAGAACTGATGATGTTAATTTCTCTTTGTCCACAAGTGGGTCCTTCAAGTCTCCCTGGCTACTGATTTGCATGGGGTGTCCCAGAAGGCCACCCAGTGCTCACGATAACGCAAAACGTCACTGAAGGGGTACTATTTGTACAATTGGATATTGTGTCTTGATGAAAAGGAACAAAATTAATATTAGGTGTATTCGTTAAATTAGAAAATCCATCACAAGTTAGCGTCGCGCGGAAGATCGTATCTGCAACAATAGAGAGAGGGTCATCATATCAGTTGATTCCAAATCAAAATTAAGCCGCATGTGGCAAGGTAAATTCATTACTTATCTAACAGGGCTTCCTATCTATGATAAAAAAAATTTCATTTCTCCTACCCCTCCCGTTACCTGTAGAGATGCCGTAAGATGAGATACGAGAGTTTGCAACGAAACGTAACGTTTACTTTTGCCCGATAAACTCGGCGGGTCATTGAGGGACTTGGTGAGGTGGCGTACAGGTCGCAGGCCTGATCAACTTTCCCGCGGTTTCTTCAAGACTTCCTTCATTTTGTTTCTTTTGTTAAAAAAAATAGAAAAATTACATTTTTTTTCGATAAAGGATATGTAAACACTTGAATTCAAAAGGGTAAGTAAAATTAATTTTCATTTATGTGTGTCTGTGTAGGGGGGGGGGGGAGGCTGGAGGAAGGGTGATATAATGTATATCCTTTCCGCACTGTATCGTGTAAATATTATTATCGTGTTATTTTATTCCCCAGAATAGGGTATTTAACAAAATATTTGTTATGCCATTTCACAACATTTATTATTTAAGTTTCATGTCTTAGTTAATTTATTTGATCCACAAGAATGATTCAAGATTTCTTACTATAATTACATTTTACGAAAGATATTATTTCATAAAATAAAATGAACCAAAATTCCTCAATGATTTATTTCATACGATTTTATTTTTCCAAAATATTGTACTAATGTATGATACTGGTGATTTTATTAACCTTCTTATTAAATACAAAAAGAAGTGAATTATTTTTTTTTTTTTTGTCTTTCAAAACAAATTTTATCATTTTAGTTGAGACTGACACAACTTAAAAAGTCACTTTAAAAGCTTGAATAATTTCTTTAAAAAAATTATCTGCATGGATGAATATGGTTTGAATTAACTTCATTTGTTGCAAAAAAAAAAAAGTGTAAGGGAAAAAAACGAGAAACTTTTATGAAACTCGTATTCCCCATAGTAGCGTGAAGTTTTGTTAAATTACATTCTTATGAGTGATAGCAACAGATATGTAGATTTGATTTAGTGTTTTTGTCCCGAAAAGTTAATTAGGAAAAGTTTGTTTATTTGGATCGCGAAATCCCGGAAGAGGCCACTAGAAAATAGGACGAGTGTTTTCTGGCGTTCCTGCTTACCGTCCTAAGTGATTTTCCATGTGAACATTCTACCTCGATAAGTAAACATTGGCCATGCTATTTCAAACTTTTGGTGAACGAAGCATATATATTTCGTCTACTAAGCTATACTGGTTGACTTTGAAGGTGCAATTTTCTGCACAATTGCCCTTCATTACAAGATGATTTAAGTCCACGTTTGCGAGGTTATTTCATGGCAACAACTTTTCCGCCTGTTAGCAGCAGTTCTGGAAACACGTTTATCAAATTCCATCGTAAAATTTTCAGGATGTTCCAACTATTTGTGTGATAGCTTAAAATACCTAAAGAAATAATGAATGACTGATAATATACACCATTTCGCTTGTATCTTGGTACTCAGCTCGTGTCTTTAAAACGATTAGAATGACTAACCCGCAAAGTAACAAGATTCAGTTAGAAAAACAATATAAACTTTGAAATCATTCCGTGAAAATACTGGAGTCAAAATATTCTTACTTTTATTCAAGAGTAATCATAGAGGCTTGTTCAGTTTGTTAGGGAAACTACTCAGTATGTTTGAACGCAGCAGTATGGTCGAAAAAGTTATTTGAACATGATATATTGTTACACCAAAACGTAATTTTTTTTTCTAGTAATGTATTTTGGAATAGATATAAATGTCAAATGTCAGGAATTCGTAATAATCATCAATTAACGATGGTAAATTAAGATATTTTCGGATTTATTCTCTGTCAATTTGTTTAATGAGAGTAACGAGGTTTACATCCCTTTGACCAGGTTAATGTAAAATATGAAAGCTTTGATAGCCATGTGTTTTATGTAAAGAGAGAGAGAGAGAGAGAATGAGAGTTGTACGGTATATACCGGTATTCAAACATAATTACATTCAGTGGCGGATTCAGAGAGAGTATCACCCCAAGGATTAATCTTTTGTTACCCAATTTACATGTAGTAAAGTAGGTAAATTAATGTTTTTATCGTCCGATACTGTTTTTTAAAACATACATTGTACATAAAAGGACTTAAAATCTGGGAGCCCTATGGGGTTGCGCCCCCTGAGTTGGGACGCGGAACATCTTAGGGCTTTTCACAAAATAGTAAAAGGTTTCTTCATTTAAAAAAAGCCAAGTCTTAGATGAAATTCCTACTTGCCCCCTTTTCTGGGAATCCTGGATCCGCCTGTATATTAGCACAGGAATAACTGTATCCAACAGATAATCATTAAATGAAATCGATTTCCTTTTAACAACAAAAAGGAGACCTAAAATTAAAAAAAAACAAAACCTACGCATTAGGTAATATATAACTGTATAATGTCAGACATATACATATTTTACACATGTATTATTAACTGAACTTTGTCTTCTGTTACTCTTGTTTGTTTTATAATTATTTCATTGTGTTCAATCAATTGTAAATTCAATGCATTCTGTTCATATTTCACGTTAATGGACAAAAACACTTGAGATGTTCCTTTTCCGGAAATTTAATGCTTGAACCTGTATTTCAATTTTCTCGTTTACATGTGACATAAACGCGGGAAATTGGTCTATCAACGTGCAGAAGGAATACGGTCAATTGTACATAGAAAAAATACGGTCGATCTGTTGATTAATCTAAAGATTGTATAGTGACATATGTTACTGTAGACCCTCGTACTTTTGGATAAAAATCTTATTATCAGATGTGATGTTGAGCAAAACGATGGTGAGAATGACTGAGGACATGTCCACGGCAAAATACTGTTTCTTAAATTATTACATAACGAAGTATTCACATTGGGTTAGTAGCTGGAAGTAGGGGACGAAATAAGTTGTAAAGGATTTTAATTTTAAAAATATGGAGTTTAGGGGATCCTAAATTTGGTAGGGAACAAGCCATCGGACTTGGGAGTGACCACATGCATCGGACTTTTAAAAACGTCAGTACATTTGACCATGGGGGCTTAGGTTTTTTATAATGGATTGCACGTTTTATACGAAATATTTTACACATGTATGTTTATATTTGTTATTTAAATTTTTTTTATCATATCAGGCATACATTGACAACCACGTGATAGGAATGGAAGGATGGATGGGAAAGTCAAATCTCCACATCCTTCAGGTATTCCAATCCCACGTCACATTCGAAGAAGTGCCTCTCAACCCATTCCACCAAGATTGTCCAGAAGGGACCAGTTTCAGGGTCAGGAGGGAAAAGGCCACCTTTCAGAGGTAGACTCTACCAGTCAGGGCAGGAGCCCATCAGGGAAATGGCTGGCTAACACAGACAAGAAACATCCGCAGTCGTCTGAAGGACTAGGTCAAGTTAAAGTGCGGAAAGGAAAACCCTCAGAGGGTGGCTTCTTGCAGCAGTCAAAATCATGTGATAGACTGGTGACAAGACAACCCCGGGAAATAGCAGAGGCAGAGAATGAAAATCAAGTAAGTTACAGGTGTATATACAGTGGTACTTAATTACCCAGTCAATTCACCTGCATAGTGTGACAAGGGGTGGGAGTCTGCATTTATTATTTTACAGAAAAAATACAAAGAAGTTATTTACTGTTACTCAGTTTGTTTGGAATAGAGCAGCTAGCCAAGATTACCAAAAGTGGCCAATGTATTATAATCAACAACTTTTATGTTTTGAACATACATGAGTTGATTTCTCTAAAATTTAATATTTTTGTTTCATGGATCCAAAAGAATTAAGCGTATTTGGATATCAAAGATGGGCTTGGCCAGAATCGAATGCTTTTAAATTAGTAGAAGTTTGTCTTTTTACCACAAAAAAGAAATTTCAAAATCTATATTTAAGATTTAGCCAAAGATTAAATCAATATACTTTTGAAATTTACATATTTTATATGAAATTTATCATACATATACATGCACCACTACAGTAAAATGCTGAAAGTGAAGTGCAAGGGACAGATAAATTTATCTGAAAACATCACTGGGAATGAAAATATCATATCTCTAATTCAAATGTGAATTCATTTCAAGCATGTTTTCTCCATCTGTTATTAAGTATCCTTATTTCATTAAGAATAAGCAGGTATTTGTATTTTAAGACAATTCATTTTTGACTAAAAATCTTGATTCTTTGAGTTTTATTTTAATCACAGCAGGATAAAAATGAAACATTTCCGTGACTTGCTCTAGAAGCATTCTCCAGACCTTCAGCAGTGTACTTATCTATCTGTACCTTGTTTCTACTAGACAGTTTATAGGTTTATAAAGGAATAGATAGTATCTCTGAATTACTTTTATACAGATAGATCAAATCATCTTTTAACATATTGATATTTTAATGCATTAAAGAAGGACTTGAAATCAAAATTCCTTCCTCCAGTTTTCTGTGAAAGAAATTTCAGAAAATGAAAAAAAAGTATGTAGATATCTTTAGGTTTTATCAGGATAATAATGGTTTGTCTATCTTTTTTTAGGGTGACGTGGTAAAAATTTAAACCTTTTATTTGTGGTTAGAGCCAAGTTCAGATAGATAAATTATTAACTTATCTTAGTCAAGAAAACCCTATCCTACAGCTTTAATCACTTGCACTAAAAGAATAAGGCTTTCTAGAATATGAGGTTTTCTTCAGCGTAAAGGAACATTTTACCTTCATTTTATAGTCTTTATATTCAGATAAGCATAGAGATATAGTCAAAATGCTTAGAAATCTATTAAAAGGATGAAAATATCATTTCCATCTCAAATATTGCTTGTAAGTGAATGTGAAATTGAATATGCCTGAAAAACAAAGGCAACAAATCAAACTATTATAAAACACATCGTATTGCTGACAAAGTCTTTGTCCAATCATTTATCTCCTTCAGTGTATGCAAACAAAATCTCGGCAATAATGTCCAGAATTTGCATAAATTACAATAAGTTTAATATTGCCGTTATCTCCCTCGTTTAATGTTTTGTGTCCCTTCTCAATTTCCAAAGTGTGAAGCGAATTAAAATCACAAGCAATTCACAGCATTAAAGGAGGAGAAAAACGATGTTAGTCTTTGGAAAAAAACCATATTGATTTTCTTGGATGGATCAGCATAGAATTTTGTCCTTATTAGTGTCAGAGGTATAATTTTGAGGATAAAGTCACTGACAGTCTGGAAAAGGAAAAACAGAGGGCATGCCCCACCTGCTACAACTAACATGCAAATTGTCTTTTGTTTTTCGGAGAAAATGAAGTTTGAGAGTGCATGTAAAACTGTGAAGATTATGACTTGTTGTTGACCTGGGACATCATTTTGAGGTGAAAGATGAACTCAAGTTTTCTAATGAAACACAGATTTTAAACATTTATTTTTATTTTTAGTGCCAGCTTTAGGCTACTATTCATAATGGGATATATTGATATAATGTTCAAAGAAATCAATGTTTCACTTTGGTAAGTTTCTGCATGTACTTAAATTTCCGGAAGAAAAATTGTTTCATCTTTGATGGGATAGCAGACCATTGTTTGTTAAGATGCTTGACATAGCTGAAGATATTTGTAAAGAAATATTCTACATTTTGTTTCAAATATGAAGTTAATAGGTATTTTTCAATATTTTCATACAAGAAACAGCAGAATTATGATTTTAAATAGGCTACAAAAGTTGTTTCATTATGTTGTAAGAAAGACCCTTCCATTGTATCTGATGAAGTTCACTGTAAGAGCATTGTTTGGACTGTATAGAGCCTGCTCCTGTTTTAGTTCTCACTTTGTTTTGAGCATCTCGCCCAATGCTCAAGTAGGGAATTTTACAAATATGATTACAGAGATCAACAGCTTTTCTATATGAAGCAGAATAATTACTACTCTCTAGCCATTTGCAAAGGCTTCACCTGCAGATGTTTGGAATTTCACAGGAAACCAAATAGACCAGACATTGTTCTAGGAAGTGAAAAATAGACATTCTTAAGGCTTTTGTAAAGGCTGATATATTAAGGAAGACTTGTATGGAATGAAATGGAAATTTTGTCCCGATTGTGAGGATGTTATAAGGTCTATGTACTTCTATCTTAATCCCCAGACTGTTTTTTCTTCATGCTTGCTAGATTTAATGTCTGGTTCACTGCATGGCCTAAAAGGACACTTCATTTTTTTTATAGGCTAATCACATGCAGTTGATTTTACTGCCCTTTCAAGGTAATGAACCCAAGAAATCAAAGGGGTCATTAAAACTGACTAGAATTCCGATTCTCTGAGGATTGAAGGCTACACAGAGTACACTGACTTCAGTGGATTTACGATGCTTGTGTATCTATTGTGACAAATACCTGGGTGGCCTAGCAGGGTCTGTCTGTCAGTACCTCAGAAAGTACGTGTCAGATTGCACTGCCATGATTGCATGTTACAAATAAGAGTGTATGTGCGAGCTGTCTAGTGAACGTGTCATAGATTTCCCACCCTTTAACACAGTTGTCAAACTTAGAAGACACCATCATGCAAGGAAACTAAATATCATTTGAAATAATTTTTGAACAGTACAATTTGGCAAAGACTTTGTCTTGGCTGTGTAAAGATCCTGAGTGGACAGTGTTGTAGTTTAGGGTATATTGATTTAGTGATGACACATCAAGCTCTGAATTGTACATCCATGCACATATTCTGACAGAGAGAAATCATTTTCACTTGGTCTTAGAAACTAATGGTTTGGACATATTAGAGGAAACAGTTTTCTGAAATGGACATTTTAGAAATTTTCATTCCTTTGACAAAACCAAAGGAAACATCACATGCAATGGTTCTATGGGGGATTCAGGGGGAATGCCCAGTTCACCCACCATGAGGAAAATTATTTTCAATTTAATCTGGATTCTGTTTTTGTAGTATATTTTAAAGTTTTTTTTAAGAATTTTTTTTTCATGTTTAAAGACATGATTAATATATATCTACATGTATTTGAAAGTAAAATTTGGAGGTGCCCAAACAATGGATGTCATTTGTATGCTTGATAAACTTTTGATTGTCTGTGTGTCTGTCTTGGTCACATTGTATAAAGCTGAGAAATATGACATTTTTAAAAGTCTTTGATTTTTAGTTCTTTTACAGCAGTAAAGTTTATGTAATTAGAGAGGTTCAAAATATTATTTGAACTTCAGATTTTTGATTGACACACTAAAATATTAATCACTAAGATAAAAAAAAGGTTATGAGGGCCCAGATTGCTGGCTACACTTGAGAGCTGCTTGTAAAATACCAAAGGATATAGACAAGGCAAAATGTGCTTCATATAAAGTTAAATATTATTCTTCCTTGAAAAAACAAGAAAAAAGTTTTTTGTATCTGCTGTTTGTTTACTGGCAAGACAGTCAAAACAACACCAGATACAGATTTATGATATTGTTACTGTAATTCTATATCCGGATGATCCGTTTGATAACATATGCATTAATTCTTTAGTGTGTGGTTATAGAATGTATAACTTGGTCTATATAACTAACCAAAATAAAAATCTTAAGGTTTTTGATTACAATCATCTGTTTAATTAACAAAACAGAGTTACATAATTTTCTGAAGACCTCATTGTTTAAGTTTATTTTAATTGTTGAAAGATTAATGACTTGCTTTTAAGCTGTGGTGTTGGTATTTCAATTAACAACATTCCTTGGAGGTGGTAGTCAATCAGATACAATGATTTTATGGAGCAGTTCTTGGACTTGATATTTTATTTGATATTCAGACCTCACAAGCAAATGTGTATGGTTGGTCATATTTTGCATAGATATTTCCTTATTGATCATTATAAATACCCCAAGATTTAAAAAAAAAAATTCCTTGTAAGAGCAGGTTACTGGAAAAAGAGCAAAAGGTTGCAAAAGTTATCTCCCTTTGATTGTGATAATTTTTTTAACCCTCTTAAATTAGGTCAGTGCACCAGAGTGATCCAATATTTTCATTATTGATAGATAGATATACATCATAGTTTAAGTGGTCATTTGTTGCTCATTACAGATAGAAATGACAATATATATCCGTCCTAATTCAGACAAAGATTGTAGCACTGTGTGACATTTATTCTGACTTAACCTGACATTACAGGTGCTCTGATATGTTTGTTTTTCATATTTCATTGTATAAGAAGACACCAGGTCAGTTTTGACACATGGTGCTATCATTTTATTCTTTACATGGACTCCATCCAAAATAATTCTCCAGTCACGATATGTTTTAAGGGTGTCTCTTTGTTCATTGTTACTATTTTATATCTGACAAACATGCTAAGGGGAACTTAATTGGGATCAGTCCGCATTTTAATAATAATATATAAAATGTGAAGTATATAATCTCATCAGCGTCAGTAATTAAGTTAATTGTTAAAGCCACAGTGATAATTTATTTGGGTTCAGCTTCTTGTACGACTAAGATAGAATGTAAAATGGATGACTAAGGATTTAATAATTATATTATCAAGGATTTATAAATGAGATTTTATTTATTATG